ATAGCGTTTGCGGCTCATATGGGTTTCACCCTCCACCAAATGGATGTCAAGACAGCATTTTTGAATGGTTATCTTAAGGAAGAGGTATACGTTGAACAACCACCGGGGTTTGAAAATCCAGATTTTCCTAATCACGTTTTCAAACTAGATAAAGCACTTTATGGGCTCAAACAAGCACCACGCGCTTGGTATGATGAACGTATATCAAAATTTCTTTTGGAAAATGGTTTTGAAAGAGGAAAAATAGATAAAACACTTCTTCTAAAAATAAAAGATCAATCCCTCTTGGTTGTTCAAATTTATGTAGATGACATTATATTTGGTGCTACTAACGACTCACTTTGTGATGAATTTTCTTCTCTTATGAGCTCCGAGTTCGAGATGAGTATGATGGGTGAATTAAATTTTTTCCTTGGTCTCCAAATCAAACAAACAAGTAAAGGAACTCAAATATCTCAACAAAAATATCTCAAGGAGCTTCTCAAGAAGTATGGAGCAAGTGAAGGCAAAACAATGACAACACCGATGGGAACAAATGACAGGCTGGATGTAGACGAAGCAGGAACCAGCATAGACCAAAAGAAATACCGAGGAATGATTGGGTCTCTACTATACCTAACTTCCAGTAGACCCGACATAGTTTTCAGCGTAGGTCTATGTGCCCGGTTCCAGGCAAATCCCAAGGAATCTCACCTCAAAGCAGTCAAGAGGATACTCAAATATCTCAAAGGAACTATGAATCTGTGTTTATGGTATCCACGTAATGAGGATTTTAATCTTATTGCATATTCAGATTCTGACTTTGCAGGTGATCTATTAAACAGAAAAAGCACATCTGGAACGGCTCACTTCCTAGGTCCTTGCCTGGTTTCATGGAGCTCTAAGAAACAAAACTCAGTTGCTCTTTCAACAGCCGAAGCCGAATACGTAGCAGCCGCATTGTGTTGCTCACAATCCTTGTGGATCATGCAACAAGTAAGTGACTACGGAATCATCCTAAATTGCACACCAATTCTATGTGACAATACTAGTGCAATCAGCATCTCAAAGGATCCGATCATGCACTCACGAACAAAACACATCCACATCCGGCATCACTTTCTGAGAGATTGCGTGGAAAAGGGGCTAATCAAGGTCGAATATTGCAACACCGACAAGCAAATTGCCGACATTTTTACAAAGCCCTTGAGAAGAGAAAGGTTTGAATTAATTCGACTTGAACTTGGTCTCATCAATGCTTAAAACTATTCTAATCCATGCAATTTTTTTGGGGGAAACAACCTAAGGAGAAATTCTTTATTTTTTTTTAAAAGAAGGCAAGATCCTTTCAGTTTTTAAACTGCCAAATTTTTTTGGGAAGACACTGCCACACAACCGGTCACTTCCTATTTGGAAGGAAATCATTAAAGATTTTTTTGGGAAGAGGGAAAGTATCCCGTATACCAACACGCCGCCCACTTCCAAAATAAAAAACCTTCCATAACCTCCTCCCTCTTCTCCTTCTTAAAACCACCATGGTCAAAACCAGAGGCTGCGCTCCTCCAACTGCTCCTCATCGTTCTAGCCGGAAAAGAAGCGTACAACCACCCCCACCTTCATCACCTACCCCGATTGAACTCGAAGCCTCACCTCCTTCGACCATGCACTCCGAATCTGGTGACTCCTTACCACCATTCCTGGCGTCCTCTCAGGGGGAACAAGATAAAGACTCTCCATCACCAATTAAACCTCCCAAAGGAAAACCACCAACTCGTGACGGAAAGGTGCTGCCCCAAAAGTACACCCGGAAAAGAGCAATCGCTGAGGGAATCATCTCCGAAAAGGGCTCCACCAAAAAATATCCAAGAATGGGGAGGGTAGTCGACGAAGACGCCGCACGACTCAAGGAGGAATATCTCTCCCGGGGAATAGTTAAGGTACTCTCCATCTCCTCTGGTGATATTACTCGAAAAACCTCTGATTTTACTGAGCTTATTTCCTTCCAAAAATGGGAAACCTTGTTTGATTCTCAGAATTGCCCCTCTGTATTTCCTGAACTCATCTCAGATTTTTTGGCTAATCTTATTATCAAAGACAGCTTCTTATCCTCTAAGGTACAAGGCACAAAAATTCTGTTAAATGTGAGTGATCTAGGTCAAATATTGGGTGTTCCATGTACTGGTATATGCCAATATAACAAAACCGAGTGGCCCCTAACCGACACTTCTCAAACAGTTGCACTGGAATATTTTAACCTAACCATTTCCGAATCCTCTCTTCATGTTGCGAGCCTTGCACCAATTCCCAAACTACTGTTCTACTTTGTTCATCACAACTTGATTCCTAGACTAGAAGGGAGATTCACACCCTCTAGAGTTGAACTGGCATATATGTACCTTTTAGCCAACAAAATTCCTATCAACCTTCTTGGATTAATGATGGGTCATCTAAGTTCTATCATTAGTACCTCATCCTGAAGGATTGGGATTCCATATGCCCCACTACTCACCAAAATATTCCTATCTAAGGGCATTGCTCTAGACAAATTCTCCTCTGAAGAAGCTTGCAAGGTCCTGGATAAGAGATGTCTTAGCAATCTAGGACTAATTATATCAAACTCTCACCTACTTCCTAAACCAACAGATCCCTCTTCTTCAGAACAAAAACCCATACCCAAACCAACTCCTGTTCCTTCCATCAACCCAATGATGGTGGTACCCCCAATCACTGACCGCATAGATCTCCTGGAACGATATATTCAACACCAATTTGCTTCCCTTTCAGACTCCATCTCCGCATTGGCAAAAAAGGTGGACACACTGGCTGATACAACCAATGCTATTCGGAATGATTTCCAATCCTTCAAACAGGAAGTGGCGGAGCGGCTCTGTGAATCTGGCTCGACTAATCGGAGAATAATTTATTTTTCTGAGGATGATTAAACATTTTTTTCTGGGGGAGGGTTTTGGCTACATTAACATCTTAACAAGCTGTCCTACTTTGCGATTTTACTTGGCACTGTTTTGGTTATTTTCTGTTTCCTTTTGGTTGATGCCAAAAGGGGGAAATAATCAGGTGCATGCTTGTTTTGCTACATTAAAAAAACTGACTGTTACTTTAGCACTAACCTGTAGGGACTCTGGTGGCACCATAGGTTATGTTACTTTAGCACTAACCTGCAGGGACTCTGGTGGCACCATAGGTTTGTCATCAACAAAAAGGGGAATTTGTTGAATACGGTTGTTTTGTTGATGACTAAACCATACAGGGGAACGACGGATAGAACCACTCACAGTTTCCTGTTGAATACGATTGTTTGACAACTAAACCATACAGGGGAACGGCAGATAAAACCGCTCCCAATTCCTTGAGTAACAGGAACGAATGAATATTATTAATTTGATTGACTAACGATGCAGGAGAAACAAAAACACAATCCATGATGTGATTTGAGTTAATACGGATTGCACCTACTTGCTCGTTATTGGCATGATTTCCTTATATAAGTAATTATTCTCTTTCCACGATTGATATAGCTTAAAGTATGGTGCGTAAAATATTCCAAAGCTACACGGTTGTGATAGAATAAAATCTTGTTGAAATATATTTCATATCTAAATGAGTTGATTGCTTATGTTGAGAAAAATATTCTTACCTTCTTGAGTATTGACCAAAGTTTACCTTATTCGGTAATTAATTGATTGAATCAAAAAGATGCACAAGATATTTTGTATCTAGTCCAGGGCCGATATACATAATGGTTGATCCGGCTACCATAAACATTGAGCTCGAATATGGGAAGCATTATAAAGAAGGAAAGCAATTCAAAATATGGAGGCAAGTCCCAAGATTAGAAGATCAACTATTCAAGGAAGGATGCTTAAAACGGTCTGCCCAAGACAGTCATATAAATGAAGAAGCCAAAGAGAAATGGTGTGCTTGACCAAGCTTCTATTGAGAAATATACACGAGAATATTTACTAAGTCCAAGGCACCTGAACCTGCTCTCGGAGTTTCAAACAGAGTTTCTTTTTCCCTTCTTCTCATTGTAATTGGGGTTTTTGAGGATTGGCTAAGTGTAGCATCCTCGGGTTGGTTAGTGTGTTGTGAGAGCTTTGTTGTAAAGCTGAGAGGCTCTCTACCCAAAATGTAGAGATGCATAACTCTTCCTAGAGAGGATAGAGTTGGGGTGGCTCAAGGGTAGACTAGGAGAGTTTCCCTTGTAATCATTCAAAGGCTTTTTAGTGAAGTTGTTCAAATTCCTCCGAGGGAGGTCGAGGTTTTTTAATCCCTTTGAGCCAAGGGATTTTTCCTCGTTAAATCCTTGTGCACTTTATTATTTCGTAATTCCCTGGACCCCACACTAGAACTGTGCGAAAAACTGCCACGGTTCCACACACACACAATTCACCCCCCTCTTGTGTTGCTAACCGTTTCATCAGATATGATATAAAAGTTTGACACACAAACGTATAAGTTATAACAAACAAAACACCCGCACGGGTAGCTCAGTTGGTCGAGTGGTGGGAAAAATTGGACGTAGACCAAGGTTCGAATCCCGCAGCGGCCAAAAGGAGGTTTTCAGAACCTGAAATAAGGCTGGCCCTCTGATGCGCACGGGTAAAGGCCTACTGCCGCTTTGCCGACTGAGTCACCGTGATTTACTCCCCCACCATCCTGTCGGGTCGGAGTGGGGGGGCCCTTGGGGTTGGGGATTCAACCTTTTGGACGTATAACAAACAAAACAGCTTCAAGGAAATAACATTTGTTGATCATGCTATACAACATTTAAATCCTTTTCTTCTGGTTCTAGACCGATTTTGTACCCTGTTTTTTTCTTTTATGCATAAAACCTAGGCCAGCCCAGTCCCAATTTGGAGGAACCAAACCGTACCCGGTTGAGCCTGTTCGGTCTGGTTCGATTATTGTGGTTCTGTTCCAGGCTATTTACCTGCCATGTCTGTCTTTCCCGTTTTTTCTTTACGGACCTATGCAAATGATCCATTTCACATAGGACGTACCTGACATTGCACATCAATTCCGTTGTTCTTGTACTCCACATACAGGCATCTTGAGAATTGATCAACATAACTGTTTGTAAAATGAATACAAAACAATTAGGATATGATGCAGGTCAACTATCATGAACCAAGTCAAGTAGTCAACCAACCCCAACATGAAATTTTATTGGCACATAATAAAATTTTGGCATTTTCTATTTGGCACCTAATAGAACATTTTCTATGCATATCTTCACAATATAATTCAAACATGTTCTATTTTGCGAAGAAAATAATGACACTCTAATATGAAAAAACTTGTTATGTTTTAGTCTTGTTTAGGAAATTCTCATTAAAAAATGAATGCATATAATAGAAATCACTAATAAAGAGTATGACTAGACAGTTAATAGAGTAACTACAAAACACAACCATTCGTCGGTTACCTTCGTAAAATACACATAACAGACCAGATCAGACCAGACTTGGATATTATAAGATACACACAGATCAGACTAGATCCCACTAGACTTGATCAGATCGAAATTTTTTAACCCAATTGAAAACATCCTAAAATACAAATACAGATTCACTGCATAAAATAAAAGATCACATTCTTCCTTTTATTTATGTACTTTAATTGTATCTAATTTATGTGTAAATTGAAATGGTGAGAAAGTCTAGCACTCTTGATTAAGCGGAATTTTAATTTTCATTTGGCAAACCACAAATTATCAGATGCATATATTTTAAAATAAAAAAAATACTACTAGTTTTATAAGAAAGTAAACATTATGTATTTAAGTATTGAGATTTATGTAGATAAAGAGAAATAATTAAATTCACATGTTGGGGACGTATCGAGGAATTAAGTGAGTCACTGTGTTAAGCATAAAGCAATAATCATTAATCACTGATTTATATGGGAAAAGGGAAAAAGTTTATATATTCGTACTAAAATAACCTTTAATAAAGTGATGGTTGATGGACTTCATTCTAAATCCTTTTAGTATAGATCCTTTTCTGATCACATATCTAAATCCTCTCTCTAATCACATACGAGTAAAATGGAAATCAGATTGAAAACGTTTTGAAATTTTAAAGTAAAGGTATTACATTATTATTCCTGAATTAAAAATAATTATTGTCAAATTTGAAAAATACAATAGATTAATACCAAATCATATCACTAATTTACTTTTCTTTGCAATATCTTTAATAATTAAGAAAGATTTTATCGGTACACAAAATGTGTTATTTTGACACACGTTCATGTGTATATAGGCATCTCTATTAGAAAAAAGTATTAATTGCCTGTGTGGATGGGGAACGTAAAATGTAGTGAAAATGTGTACACCTTTTTCACCATGTACACAAGAGTGTGGACACCAAAAGTGGTTGAAAATAGGAATCAGCTTCGTGACACGTCTTAGTGAAATGTAATTGTTGCACATACAATCAGGGGCGGAACTAGGGGGGAGCGAGCCGGTGCTGCCGCCCCCCGTTCGCCGGAGGTTTTAGTGTATATATATGTATATATACATGCTCAGCCCCGTCTCAATAATAATATGTACTAACGGACCCGTATTTAACTCAATAGTTGGAGTAGCATAGATGTCTGAATAGTTTTAAAGTTGCGGGGAGACCCGGGTTCGAATCCTTGCTCAGTCTCCTTTTTAAATTACTTACTCCATTACACTTCTTCCTCTACTTATCTCTTAACCTTTTGGAATGTTATTAGTTTTAATATTTTTCCTACCACATTTCTTTTACTTTTATGTTGCATTTTTATTTTTCAAATTCAAAATATTTACTCCGTATTTTGTACTTTTTCGAATATTAACATGTTATTTACATTTTTGTTTAGTACAAGAACAACAAAAAATGACTTTTAGCTATTGCTTCCCCCCTTCAAACATTGACCTATATCATTTTATAAAAAGTTTATCAATAAACTTTTCAAAACTACTTGAATTTTATATTTATTCCTTGGATTAGTACAAATATGCCAAAATTTCTTGTTGATATTTGAACTATCTGACTTTATATGAGTATAATTAGATTCATGTAATACTTTTGCAAAAAAATAAAATATCATTTTAAAAAATAAATAACCTACTTGTAACGCTATTTGAAAAGAGAAAAAAATTATTATTTTCTTGATAAGTTAGTAACTTATATATATACTCCGTATGTTATTAATTTATCTTCCTCTACATGTTTAGCTATATTTCTATTTAAACCTTTTTATTCTAAAATAAAAGGGAAAGCGTATTAAATCGAAATAAACTCATTTAATAAATGTAGTCTATTATTTTGTTTAGGCACTAACAAATCAGTTATACAAATGAATAAATGTCGATATTTAAGTTGATGTGTATATGTATGTGTGCGCTTGTGTGTGAATTATATATAGTTACAAATAAAGTGTTACTTCATGCAAATGGAAATAATATTATATAGTAATTTGAGATCAAATTACCATAAATATACCCTAAAACGATACAGATTATGAATCTTCCCAACTAGTGATTCAAAATTTTTTTAGCCCCTGCTCAATTTTTGTTCTGGTTCCGCCACTGCATACAATTACATTTGAGTTTTAGTAAAGAGAAGTGTTTGTGATTCCCAAAATTGAATTGTGTATGCACAATCCATTTACAATCATAGACAATCCTTTTACTCATTTGGTCCAATAATTTTAGAAAGGTGGAATCTCCCACCCCAGGAGGGCCCATACCCCGACCCGACAGGATTTTTGGGAGGATGTTAATCACGGTGACTCAGTCGGCCCAATGATGATAGACCTTTTTTCTCGTGTGCACCAGAGGTCCAGCCTTATTTCAGGTTCTGTGACCTCCACACGGCAACTGCGGGTTTCGAACCTTGGTCACTTGATCCAAATTTCTCACCACTGAACCAACTGAGCTACCCGTGCGGGTACAATACTTTTACTCAAACAAGTGTAATTGTCTATTTATAATCAATTTACAGCGTGTAAGCATGCTGTAATGTACACGAAGCAAATTCCTTAGGGTGTTGCTTCATGCACCCCCAAAATTGCTTAATGTAATCATGGATGGACAAATTTGGCCTTCTTAATTATTAATAAAAATTAAGTCTAATTAAAAAATTAATTAAAATTACTTGGCGCACCCTCCACTCCACGGTAGGCTCCCTTCTCCCTTGTCCATATCATTTTTGCATTAAATATACATCCAATCAATTGCTGCTATGTGGCAAATAAAATTTATTTTTATATAAAATGTCATAACTTTTTCATATTTGCTCTAATTTTTATAAAAATTATACCAAATTAAATATCTTTTTATGAATAAAAAGAAAAATTAATAAAAATATTAACGAATATTGTATACGACAAACTTAATGAATTACACGATAAAGAAGAATGGAGATACAAATAGTGGGGCAGATGAATATCTCATAAGTGTGAAAATCAAGAGAACTATTTTTTAGATAATTCTCAGATTCATCCTCCATTGTATAAGAAGATTGTAAAAATTATAAAAGTATTAGTAATGAGTTCCAAATATTTATATAGTAATTGTTTGATGGTTGTTAGAAAGTGTAATTGTGATTGTATTAAGAATTTAAGTGTATTTGGAAACATGTAATACAAAATTTGGGAAATATAAAAAGAGTTAATTATCAAAATAGGACTAAAAGTCATTCACTTTTCACAAATAGTATCAAAAAATGAACTATGTTTGCATAGGACTAATTATGTGTACCTTGGACAATTATACCCTTATAGCTATTAAAATGTTTTAATTCCTAATAAAATAATAAAAAATAATAAAAATTCGTAAAAAATACTAAAAAATTAAGAAAAACTTTTCGATATTAAAAATTTAATTCATTTTTTTTTCAAAAAATTAAAAAAATTAAAAAAAAAACTCAAAAAAAAATCGCCGCCGCCTCAGCACCACCACCTCCAGTCACCAGGGGAAAAAAATGCCAAGTTCATTACGAATTCCATATTTATGGCAGAAAAAATGAAAATGTTGGCATTCGAAAAGAGAAATATGCCACTTTTTTGGCATTTTCAGAAAAAAATGACAGTTTTCTGAGAAAATGGCATTTTTTTCATCGGCCGGAGGTGGTGGTGCTGGGAGGTAGTATAGGCGGTGGGAAAGGCATCCATATTTTTTTAAATTTTTTTTACGGAGTTTTACTATTTTTTATTAATTTTTTTAAAAATAAAATTATTTAAAAAAAAAAGTTTTTGAATTTTTTATTTTATAAAAATTTTATAAATTTTTTAATTATATTTCTACGAATTTTTGATTTTTTTTTGGGAATTTATTATGAATTAAACATTTAATTATGGCTTTTGACTATTTTTAATTCATATTTAATGGGGAGGTAGTATAGGCGGTGAGAAAGACATCCATATTTTTTTAAATTTTTTTTACGGAGTTTTACTATTTTTTATTAATTTTTTTAAAAATAAAATTATTTTAAAAAAAAGTTTTTGAATTTTTTATTTTATAAAAATTTATAAATTTTTTAATTATATTTCTACGAATTTTTGATTTTTTTTTTCGAATTTATTATGAATTAAACATTTAATTATGGCTTTTAACTATTTTTAATTCATATTTAATGGAAGGGTAAGAATGGAATGCAAAAATAAGTATGTTTCCAATAGGACTCATATGATCCTATTTTGGAATAAAAACATAGCAAGTTCTATTTTAGGTTTTTGCCATAATTTTAGTTCTATTTGAACTAATTTCTAATATAAAAACCTTTTTTAAAAACTACTACGTAAATCTTTCAGTGATTTAGAAAGCAACGTGGTAAAAAAACGGCTGTGTTTAAGGACATAATTGACCAACTTGGTCAAAAAATCTGTGCGCATGGCCAATTTGATGGCGCGCGGAGCACGAGGGAATTCCTTATTACTCCGTATAATGATGGGCCTAGTTCGTAATTACTTACGCTTTAGTGCCGGCATAAACAGCGTGAAGGGGAGCAGAAGGGATGACAATGGCGGAGCCGGAGCCGATGTTGACGATAGCCCCCTTCTTCCTTAGGAGCATCCCGGGCAAAACCGCCCGCGTCACCTTCGTCGTCCCTTCCACGTTCACCTTCACCACATCCCCCAACACCTTCTCATCCACCTCGTCGAAATACCTCGGGTACGGATAGCAAACTCCCATGTTGTTCACCAGCACCCCCACATCCAGCCCCTCAATCGCATCCTGGATTCTCCGAATCCCGTCGTCCGAGTCGCCGGAGAAGTCTACCACCACCGTCTTAATCTGGGTCTCCCCGTACTTTTCCCGGATCCAGCCCGAGACGTCTTTCAGCTTCTCCGGGTTCCGCCCCACCAGAACCAGATTGAGCCCCTTCCGCGCCAGCTGGAAAGCAAACGCCTTTCCGATTCCGTCGGTGGGCCCGGTTACCAGAGCCCACGACCCGTACTTCTTGAGGCTCTTACCGGGTCGGAGGAAATAGACCCACACCCAATTGAGAATGGCCGCGCAGATGGTCAAAAGCTTGAACAAGCCTAGAGCTAGTGGAAGAAGAGGAAGCCACGGCTGTGGAGATTTGAGGTAGCAGTCGTAGAGTACAGAGAACCCGGTGTCCATTTTTTTCACCCGGCCTTTTAGTAATTAAAAGGAGTGCACGGCTAACAGTTGCAATAAGTAAAGAATTAAATTAAACTCACTTTCTTTGAGAGTGTAGAATAGACTTATTTGGGGAGATCTGTTGGTATTTGTAAAGTCTAGTACCTCACTTCAATGATTTAAGTAAAGTATTAAGAGCCATTTTGGTATAATTGAAATTGAGTGAATAAATTGAATCCGCACAAAATGATTAAATTCCGAGCAGGGTGAGTGAATTGTCTACATATGTTGAATTGTGAAGATATTATATTTTAGTATTAAATAAAAAAAATGATATTAAAAATAGTTAAATTGGTCATTCAGGCACTATTGTAACTTCAATTGTACTTATTTTGATTAATATATAATATATGATGCGAAAACAATATTTACATAAAAATGTTGATTGATAAAATTGTTTAGCTAAAAAAGTTATCAAATACGTTCTAAATTCAAAGTGTTTGATATGAGGAAGGAAAGAGAGACAAAAGGGTTGGTTTGTTGGGCAGTTACATCATACTAAATGTCCAGCATACTCACTTCCCATTAAAGATGACAGTCCCATTGCGAGTGGTGCAATACTTTGCGTAGTTTAATTTGGAATTGGTTGTGCATGTTAATCATCTGGTGGCCGATAATGTAACTAAAAGCACCGCATAATCTTCATTAAGAATTTAAAAATCTATAATGGCTGCCACAAATATTGGTTTTCATGTATAAAGATATAGATATTAGTGTGCAATTCATTCTAACAATTAAACTATTGTGTTTGATAGGCATTAGTTACGCTGTAAATACGTTAAGATATAGTGTAACAATTTGTTAATACACTCCTTAATAACTATACACATTTTTCTCACTTTATGATCTGATGGTAATGAACAACAACATGCTCTCTATTTATATACTGATTTGGAGATGAGAGGCAATGCTTCAATTTCTCCATATCTTCTAACATACCTATTTGCTTGGGAACACTTTCCAAAAAAGTGCCTATATGATTACCAGTAAAAACAATGGATACGGATTGTTATGTGTAATTATAAATGTTAGATTGTTAAGGTACATAACACCAAGAAGATTGTTACATTTTATAAATGTTAGGGTTGGTGGGTGTAGTCCAATGGATGACCATTCACCCCCAAGTCTCTCCGTTGTTGTAGGTCTAGGGTTCAATTCTCACGAAGGGGAGATGAGGGAGGTCTTGCTCCCAATGATTCTTCCTACCTTCACGGAGTTGATCAGCGGCTAAGAAGAGAGAGGATGGTAATGAAGGTAGCGGGTTCGTTTGGTGGGACGAGCAGCCTGAAAGGTGATGTAAGTCCTGTTGGATTCGTCCTTTGGAATTAGTACTGACGAAGTTGACTGTGATCAGATCCGGATTTAACTGTCTAGGGGATTTGGAGGGTAGTTCATGGACTCCAGGATTATGTGAACGTAAGCCCCGACACCTGTGTTGAATATAAGGTTTTGTTGATGACTAACCCTGCAGGAACAGAGGATAGAACTATCCTAAGTTCCAAACAGGACGTCAGTGTTTTATTGATGACTAACCATGCAGGTGCACCAGCGAATAGAACTACTATCAGTTCTGTCACGATGAAGGTCAAAACTATACTTAGTTTTGCTCCACATGAATGATTGACGTGCATATTATTTGATAAGTGCGTGCATGATAATACCTTATCTACGTGCCTAGAATGTTATAATATCATGCATATTCTTGATATATGTGGCACAATTTAAATCTCTTTCCATGCATGATTAGACACTCACTTTAATGAGTTGGCCTATATATAGTCTACATATCTTATGGAAAGAATCTCTACTTGCTAGTATATGATTACATATGAAAGTTGACCGCATCATACTTATATTTATTAAGAGAGTAATTTATTCCCTTACCATACGGATTTAAAGAGAAACATTTGTTTGAATCATAATCCATAGATAATTCGCTGCATGCTCATATTGAGAGAATAAATTACTTCATTTGTTGACATCTATTCTTGAGGCACTATTATTAAATATTTGATCACATACCTTTTTGGTTATCGTGCGATTCACTCATTGCACGAACCCACTTGCTCTCCTATTTATGGTTGACCGAGAATCACCAAAATTGAGAACTAGAAGATCTTTGAATGAAAGGAAAGCTTCTTAAATTATATCAAGGAAAGTCTTAAAGTCTGGAGTATGATCATACAAGGAAAATCTCAACGTCTAGTACCAAGGCAAGCCCTATATATATCGAAGATCAAAATGAAGATGGGTGTGATTGTCCGAGCTACTATTGAGAGATATTCATCAAAGAACTAAAAAGTCCAAGGCACCTGAACCTGCTCACAAGAGTTCTAGATATAGTTTCTTTTTCCCTTCTTCATATTTTAATCGGGTTTTGAGGGTTAGCTAAGTGTACCATCCTCAGGTTGGTTAGTGTGTTGTGAGAGCTTTGTTGTAAAACTGAGAGGCTCTCTACCTGAAAGGTAGAGAATCATAACTCTTCCTAGAGAGGATAGAGTTGGGGTGGCTCACGGGTAGACTAAGAGAGTTTATCTTGTAACCACAAAGGCTCGGCTTTATAGTGAAGTTGTTAAAATTCTTCTTAGGGAGGTCAAGATTTTTTAATCCTGTCAAGTTTTCACCTCTCCAGCTCAGACCACGCTCATACAGCACACACACCAAAGCACCACCGGAAGGGACAAGAACACTCAGGCCAGGCCAGCCATCTCAACACGCGCCAAAGGTCAGAAAAGGGGAAGCACAGAGAGAATACCACAGAGGGACCGGAATGGAGAAGAGACAGAAGTCTCTCTCACTTCTCTCTTAACCTCACTCTCTCTCTAACCGAAGACCTCAACGTCAACCAAAGGCGTAGAGGGGCTTAAGTACTCGGGCAAGAGGGGAAGCCCTAAAGGAGGGTTCCAGAAGAAGGGCTAGCGGCAGAACAACATGGGCCAGGGCAAGAGGTGAGCAAACAGGCCCAACAAAGTAGAAGAGGGCTGCCTTGGCCCGTGGGGCCAATACCTCCACACTCACTAAGTGGGTCGAAGCGGAACCCTTGGCCAGCATCACGGGGGCCAGGTGTCAGAAGTTCGTTCACAAGAACATTCTCACCCGCTTTGGTGTCCCCCAAGAGATCATATCCGACAACGGCACCCAGTTTGAAGCGGCGCCCTTCCAGGAGCTCCTTCGAGAATGGGGGATAAAACACCGTTTCTCCTCTGTTGCCTACCCTCAAGGCAACGGGCAGGTTGAGAACGCCAATAGAACCATCATGGAAGGGCTGAAGAAGAACCTACAGGACGCAGGAGGGAGTTGGGTCGACGAGCTCCCCAACATCCTGTGGTGCTATCGTACCACGCCAAGGAGGGCGACGGGTGAAACACCATTTGCCCTGTGCTATGGCTTTGAAGCTAAGGCACCCACAGAGGTCACCATTCCCAGCCGACGAGTGGAGCAGTATGACCCGGAGGTTAATGAGGAAAACATGAAGATCGACATCCACCTGGTCGAAGAAAGACGCGAGCAAGCATTCATCCGAGCAGAGAACTACCGGCATCAAGTAAAATCATACTATGACGCCAAGGTACGCTCGAGGGAATTTCAGGTGGGGGACTACGTCCTCCGCCGAAGGGAAGCAAGCCAACCGACGGAGGGTGGCAAGCTAGCATTGAAGTACGAAGGGCCCTACATCGTCAGTGCCGTGGTCAAACCCGGCACCTACAAGCTTAAATGCCCGAATGGGTCCAATGTACCACGAACGTGGAATGTACACCATCTGGTGAAGTTTTATCAGTAATCCGAAGGAGGTGCAGACGGCGAAGCCCTCACCCCTTAACGGGTTACTGATTGAACGCCACCCTCGGCCTCGAGCCACTTATGAATAAAATCATGTTCCTCTTGATTTTTTCTTTGGAATTTAAAGTAAAATATTAGCTGGTGCCCTCATCAGCCACCTTAGAGCGAAAGACTCGGGCATGGCCGACGTGGCACCTTGCATTTGCAGCCTACGAGCGACAAGCTCAGGCATACTCCATTGTATTTTGTATCGGTGAAGGGCTCAGGCCTAGCTGAGAGAGCACATCGTCCTGGCCCCGTAATCCTAGAGTGAAACGCTCAGGTATGGCCGAAGATGTCCCCAGGACGAGGTGCCGATGAAGGCCCACGTCTTAAAATGGGAAGTTCACCGCGTCGTCCACGCGCCAGATCGCAGGACGACAGGCCTGAAATCATGGTCGAGGTGGCAGAATCCCCCCCACTCAGGGTTGGGCAACGGCAGCCGTTGGAAACCAACCAAAAGTCTAGCCCGCGTCATAAATAGGCGACGGGACCCCCCTGAGATCACGGACGTTATAAACGAAGTCCGAACCGGCCGAAGGACGAGCACACCCTTCGGCCGAAGCCTGAAAGAAGGATACTCCCCGAAATAGGGAACGGAAACGGAAATAAAAAAAAAAGAGGAAAGGAAAAAGGGAAAATAAAAGAGGGAAGCCGAGGACCGCGCGCACTTGCCGGCCTCGAGCAATGAAAAAATAAAATCCCCACAACTCATGCCAAACTTGGCTAAGTACATATCAGTTGAACATAAGTGTAGTACTACTAACAGGTGACATGGACGATACGGCCACACGTCCATCACAGACGAGGAAAGCGTCACAGACGAAGCACGTACGTCCAAAATCCTAACCCAATGGGTTGGGTGAAGCAAAAACGGAAAACGTCCGAAAGAAAATGCACCAAGCCGATGAAGGCACGAAGGCAGGCAAACGGGGAAGTCTCCCCCTAACACTTAGCATCAGGATGAAACGTCAGGATGAGGAAGGCACTACGTGGGCAGGAACGAGGCCTACATGTTCACAGGAAGCGTGGACGAGGCGGCCACCCGCGTCGTCCACAGTTGTGGAGCCCTACAGCACAGACGGTGGGCGTCACGTATCGGCCACACCATTCTAGTTGGCCGCGGAAGACACCACACTAAAGGGGCTACTTGAAGTTGGACACTTAGAAAAATTCTAAGACCAAACAACAAAAGGAATGAGACAATGCCAAGACGCAGCGGACACCCCAGCATGCTCGCTTCGGTCATGACGGAAAGGAAGCACCTAAGTGGATCTCAAACACTTAGAATTTTTTTGAAGAAATCCTAAGTGTTGCGACAACGAAGAAACGGCGGACATGCCGATAAGGCCATCAGACTAAATTGACTACCTTACGGACGTAGCAAACACTCGCGGGTGACCTAAGTTGTTAACTTAACACTTAGACAAATTTCAAAATCGAAAAGGCAAAGGAAACAAGCATAGACATCAACAGCCGAAGAGGCCGGCAGAGCATTCATTCATCAAAATGTTAAATACAAAGGGGGGCGTTACGGCCATTACATTCAGTTGGGCAAAAATTGGGATGCTACTAATTACA